GATGCGGAGAATGAGGAGAGAGAAGAGCAGAGAGGGGTGACGAGAGAAATAGGGGAGAGCGGAAAGATATCGTAGATGTTGGTGAGCTGGGAGTGGCGGCCGATACGGTGAAGAGAGTTGAGGGAGAAGAGAAGAGAGGGGAATAGTGTCTGTGTTGTTGAAAAAGGTGAAGAAAGAAGAGAGAAGTGAGGGAGAGGAGATGAGAAGAGGGGCGGGTGAAGAAAGAAGGGTGTTGTGCAGAGAGAGAGAGAGAGAAACAATTGAATTGGCTGAGAGGGAGAATACTTGGGTGTGAAGTCTAATTGAATTAGGAAAGCAGAGAAGAGAGAGAAAAGCATTTGAATTTGGAAAGCAGAGAAGAGAGAAGTATTTGGATTTGGAAAGCAGAGGAGAGAGAAAGGGAGAGAGAGGGGTATTTGAATTTGGAAAGCAGATGGGAGAAGATCCGGTAGGCAGAGCGGAAGATTTAGTGATGTCATTATTTGGCGCGATTTAGGTCAAGGAAAAGAGTAAATTATATTTTATATCCTTAAAGATTTAATATTTCTTATTTTATATCTTTAAAAATTAAATTTTTCATATTTTTCTTTCAATATATTAAAAGTTATTGTAATATAGTTCTGCTGTTAATTTTTGTTAATTTTAGTTACTCATTCCCGTCAACTTCAATAAAATGATTTGACGAAATAAGCAACTAAAAATAACGGAAGTACCATATTAAAATATTTTTAATACATTGAAAGTATAATATAAAAAATTTTATTTTTGAAAGTATAAAATAAAAAAAACTTAAATCTTTCATAATGCAATATGAGATTCCCCCAAGTAAAATGAAAAATTTCTAGACGGAAAAAATATTTTCAAATCAATGTAGGATCAATTTTTCTTCCATGAAGTGTGGACTAGTTGGCAAAGGTTGCAACCCATGGGCCGTCTTTAAGGCCTAGGGTCAATCGAGATGTGTGAGAGAATGTCGACATTAAATAGTAACAAAAATTTGTATCCATGTCCATCCCTTGGCCAAATGATATCATCTAACTTTTTTTAGGGAAGAGTTAGGCATTCAGTCGAGTCGAATTTGGGTCGGGTAGACAATTATGGGGCCAAACCATGACTCGATTGAAGATTGAGGATTCTTTTTTTATATTTTTTTGTCGCTGAATTTATGGACTCAATTTTCTTTCGCCCTTTGAGTTTTCACATTATCTCCTAAATTATTTAAATTATTTTACGTTACACAAAATACAAATGATTGTTTTCTTTTTGATAGAAATTGTTAAGTTTTGGATAAAGTAAAAAAAATCACATTTTTCAGAAACCAAAAAAAAAAATTTCTTAAATTTATAACCAATGTTAATCGTTGAGACGGTGCGAAACTAATCACATGGTTAATTGTATGGTGTAAAATAAATGATATTTAAGGGACAATATTTAAAAAGTGTCATAGTAAAGGGGACAAAAATATAATTTACCCTTGTTATAATCACACATCATTTGTAATTTATACTAGCTCATCACGGTAAAGTTGACATCTAATTTCAACATTAAACTAGAGATGGCACACTACAATTTTTGAAATTTGGAGGGTAACCTCCTCAAATCGGTGCAAATAGTGAGGTCGTTATTGTAATTATCTCTTCCTTCTCAGGGTTAGCGTTGGCCCCATATATAATCCACTCAGCCATCCAATTCTAGGGTTTTGTTAGCCAAAGAATAGGAAGTGGGTGTTTGGATGGCTCGATAAAGGTGGATACACCATGTTTGGATTGGATAAATATGTTGTGGGCCCCATTTATCCCTGCTTTAGCAATGTATTTTGAGGCTGGATATTCGTAGCTTTTCAAAAATTACGGTCGTAGTGATTTAGCTCAATGTTATTAGAACCGGACCAGTTATCGAACTAGTAAGGGGACTAGATCAATGATTCACTGGTTTAACTGTTGGGTCAAATAGTTGGACCAATCATATAATAAAAAAATATATATAATAATTATAAAACATAATAATTTAACTAAAAAATATAAAAAAATGTCTAAAATGCATACAATTTGCCATAAAATTTATGAAGTTAAATAAAAGAAACACATGTGTCAAATATCAAAATCAAAGTTCAACTTTAAAGATCTAATCTAAGGACATAACTGAACAATCACTCCAAGTTCAAACCCTAAACCATAATCTCTACTAAATTTTAAAGTTTACATAAGAACAAACTCATTTTGTCTGAGATCACTTACCTAATTTCAACAATTTTTAGACTCAGAATACCAAACCCAATAACTATGAAATATACTAGAGGGGAGAGAGAGAGAAGATCCTTTAGGTTTTATAGCGATAAAGAAAAATGGGGGACAAATAAGGCAAAAACCATTCTCTCAATCTTGAAGCAACAGCGGCAGCACCACCTTAAGCCACAGCGGTAGCACCACCTTAACCATTCTCCATGAATGGAGGATTGAAACTCCCCACAAACATTATCATTGCTACCAAAACCTTCAATTGGGCAGTAATGTTCAACGTTGCAGGGGATTAATAGCATTTGAAAAATAGGCACGAAATCCAAACCTAAGATTATTTGGGTCCAAACCAAATCTATTAATACCGGATAAATCATCTCGTTCATTCCCAATATGCATTTTACAAAGATTTTTCGACAAACCCAATTCATCCAACCTATTTTCCTAGTCATCGGAGTTGTTGAAAACCAGAGAGTCTGAGTATGTAGCACTTGGTGTTTGATATATAATCTCATGAAACGGGGTTACAGATGGTGATGAAACGCCACTAGAAGTACCAAACCCACCAGAGCAAGAATCTAAACAAATAGGTGAAAGTTTCTCTCAATAGGACCTATCTCTACCTTAGTAGAAGCAACAGCGGCAACACCACCTTAAGCAAATTGCTGCGTAAAGCCCTCTAATGGGTTTCTGTAATTTGAGGAGAGAAAGGGGTTGGAGGGGTTTAGGGAGAGAGAGGAGATAGAGGGGGTGGAGGGCTCGTTGGTCGCCAGAGAGTGGAGTGGTGCTTCTACGATTTAGGGCAAAAGAATGGCCCAAATAAATGGGATTTAAGTCATTTATCTTCAAACCGTCCGATTTTTATAAACACGGGCAATTCACGATTTTTTATAAAAATTGACCAATTATTCGATTTTTAGCCGATTCTCTTCCTTATGTTGTCCGATTAGAGAACCGGACCGGTTAAGGCCCTGGGTCATGGTTGGACCGGTCCGACCGGACGATCTGGTCCAATTTTGATAACACTGATTCAGCCCCTTTATCCCCTCTCATCTGGACAAAGAAATCCCACCAAAACTTTGGGATTCATTTTCAATTGACAGGATACAAATCATATTTTACCATTTTACCCCCTGCCCAACACAAGAGTTAGGATTTTTTAACCACTTCTCCCCCTTTTGCACTGGTCCCCAACGAAGAACGGCACGAACTCCTCTCATTGGCAAGGTATGTTTTCTCTCTCTCTCTTTCTGAGACAGTATATATATATATATATATATATATATTTTTTTTTATTATTATTATTCTTTTTTTTTTGGAGAATTTTTGGTGTATCAGTGGACTTGTGTTTGAATTGGTTGGGCCGGTGAATTACGACGATGCAATTGTGGTCTCTTTTCCAACGAGTAAGAGTACTTGTGAGAACAGATGTTTGAGTAATTGTTCATGTATTGGTTTATATCACCATGGAAGTAATAATCTTTGTAAGAATTTATTTGGATCTATCTTAAATCTTCAAAATCTCACTTCCAATAACACAATTCAGGATGATTTATACTTAAGAGTACAAAAGGGAAGTATCACAGAGAAGAACAAAGAGAAAACCTTGGTTTTGATTGGTACATTTGTGGGTTTTTAGTGGTGTTGATGTTGGTGGTTGCAATTTTATTGGGTTGGAGGAAGATGAGGATCAAGAAAAGGAAGAGAGAAGAAAAGGAAGGTGTGTTTCCGGTGACAAGGCTTGAAAGACTTGGTGGTGGTGAGAGAGAATTTAGAGTAGAGGTGTGCATAATTGGGAACATTCAACATGTTAATCTTGTAAGATTAAGAGGGTTTTGTTCTGAGAATTCTCACAGGCTTCTTTATTGATGATTACATGCCTAGTGGTCCTTTGAGTGTGTATTTAAAGAAGGATGGTCAGAGTTTGAGTTGGGATGTTAGATTTCGGGTTGCAATGGGGACTGCCAGAGGCATTGCCTATTTTCATGAGGAGTGTATAAATTGTATCATACAAAGTGGTAACCAACGTTGATCAATTAATATGATCAAATGTCAAGCCAAAAAGGAGATAGGATTCAAGGGTAAAATGGTCAATTAATATCAAATGTATTAGATGTTTAATAAAAAAATGTAGTTTGTTCATATCCCAACCACAACATAATGCACTATCCAAAGCAGAAATTGGATAACCCAAATTATTTTTATCCCCCTACAAATCCGGCTTATTGGGATTTCATTTGACTGATTTGGAATTTCACTAGATTGATTTGGGATTTAAATCCAAGCCAGTCCAATCCATCCATGAGTTGCCAAACACCCTCGAAGAGGATACAGGCTCTGTAGATGTACCTCGGCGCCTCTCCTCCTCCTCAACTCTCTCCTTCTCTTTCTCTCTGTGGAAAGCGCTCGCATCTCTCTTTACAGATTATATGATGCAATCCGACGAAGGTGCCACCTCCATGGAACTTGAAAAAGTTCCATCTGAATCAAATCGTGTATCTTTTGCTTCAAAACCAAACTTTGCACCCTTGAAGGCTCACGAGATGTCCAACGGTCAAGTTCAATTCTAGAAAGTCTCTGTACCACAGCATCAATATACGCCTCTCAAGAAAGCATGGATGGAAATTTACACTCCTATATACGAGCAGATGAAAATCGACATTTGTATGAATCTCAAGGCTCGCAAGGTTGAATTGAAGATCAAAATCAGATACACCTGACATCAGTAACCTCCAAAAATGTGATGATTTTGTGCACGCTTTCATGCTTGGATTCAACGTGATTGACATCGTTGCACTTCTCCGCATGTACAAACTCTATGTGGAGTCTTTTGAGATCAAAGATGTGAAAACCCTTCGAGGCGAGCACTTGTCTCGTGCCATTGGAAGATTATCTGGTAAAAGGGGTAAAACCAAGTTTGCAATTGAGAACTCTACGAAGACTCGGATTGTGATTACAGACACCAAAATACATATACTGGGGTCTTTTGCCAACATCAAAATTGCAAGAGATTCTCTCGATAGCCTTATCATTGGGTCCCCTGCTGGCAAGGTTTATTCAAAACTTAGAGCAGTTTCTGCTAGATTGGCAGAGAGATTTTGACAATGTTGAGTATTATACAACTTGATTGTACCTTGAGCTGAATTTTCAGTTGAAAAATATTGTTTTAAGAGGTAAAATTGCAGTGGTTATGTTTGTTCTCATGTGTTTGTCCAGTGAATGGTCTAATTTGCAGTTTGAAACTTGCCTATATGGCAAGACTAATTCCATGCCTATCAAAATATTTATCAAAAGATATTTTTACTAATTGAGTTCACACCTCCATATCACTCTTGAACCCCACCAACTCATTTGGAAAAAGTGCCTTTTTGTATGAATAACATTTTTTGTATGCAATTGTAGGTGCCTGCTGGATTTTTGCCTATAACTCATTGCTAATTACTCTTTCACAAGGGTGGGATCTCCAAAAGCTATAAGTTAGTTTCATAATTTGTTATGCCATTTGATTGGAATGCTTTTGAGACTATTTGTTATCAACTTAGGCATCTATTACTTGGGAGCGAGACAGGGATTGTCCTTAGATTGGTTTCTTATTAAAAAAAATAAAAACAAAATTTATTGCTAGTCCTAGAATTTGCACAGTATGAGGGTAAACCAATAGTCCACCTTTTTCTTATGAAAGAGATTCCCAAATTGAGACATGATTTGAAAAGAAAAAAAAACAAGAATCCATTAAAAAGGGGAAAAAAGAAGGGAAAATAGAAGAAAAGAAGGTCCTAGACTTTGATGGGTCAAGTAGAGTGAACATGTTCAATGGCATTATCGAATCCATCAAACTAGAATCTTGTATACAAGTTTACCAGAGGCGTTCCAATGTCTATAGCATAAAGCATCTGTGACGCCCCTAAAATCGGGGGTCTTCTTTATATCGTTGACCACCCGTCAACCTGTGGAAATACCCGTGATTGTCGCACAACTCGACATCACGTTAATAGCATCCTCTTAACCAGCATTATTACTCATACGAGTAACCCGTGTACATTTTATCATTTAATCAAATCGTGGTACAATGTACCATATTCCATACTCAATTATAGTTCATTTACATCATTTGGAAGGAAAGACACATGACCAAAAAGCATGGCAAAACAGTTTTAAAATTTCAAATTTTTGGAAGTCCTACCGGTATGGCATACCGGTAGGGTGAGCTTACTGAAAAATCCCTACCAGTAGGGTTTGTCTTCTGGACAAAGTTGTATCGGTATGCCTTACCGGTACGAGTTGCCCACTAGACCTCGTCATACCGGTGCGCCCTACCGTATGCTTTTCTGACTTTTGCATGTTTCACATGTTTTGCATTTTCAACTCATTCCAAACCATATTACATCCATCCAACACATGTAAGATTTTCATTTAATACAAGGTCCATACATATTCTATTACATTCATTTCAAAAAATTTACATATCAAAACTAAGTTTTCATAATACTTGTACAAAAACTCAAAATAGAGTCACATTCTGGCTTTCTTCATACTTGAGGCCCCGAGTGAGAGCCTTCCGCTAACATACCACCCGCACCTGAAATATTTTTCCCATAAAATGTGAGTCACGCTCAGTAGAATATTTTCTACAAAAGCTACTCCCCAACTTAGATGCACATGAAATGCTCATATGCAACACATAACACAAGCAACAACTATTTCAACCAAGATTTAGCCAGTCTAAGTTGGAATCTAACATGTCATGCCATAATATGAGGTTGCACCCACTCATGCAACTCAACCCGAGCCCTCCTGACTCCTTTTCTCCTATGCAATGTCATGAGTATAAAAAATCGACTTTCCAAGCCTCGACATTGGCGTTACACGCCCAATGACTAATTAAAAATCTCCGGGTCTTTCTTAGGGTGGGTATTTATGGACTTACACCAACGGCACTCAACTGACACGGAATTTATGGACTTTCACCAACGGTTCCGCATATACCGACACACTTTATGAGCTCTTAGACCGACGGAGTGCGTATCTGACCACCAGGTCTCTCACCCGAGGGATAGTCTAGCCCTTCTTGTTAACCCCGACCCAATTCTTTTTCCCATGCAACCATGCGACTCAATCGAATTTTCAATTCAACTTTCCCGAGCTCACCCATCGACCACTAAGTATGGTTGCTTGATCAAACCATGTACATACCCATACCCACACCCATGTCTCGTGCCCATGGATGCGATACCTCCGTGCAAATGCAATGTAATGCACTATTGTTATATCAATATCATGTCCATATGTAATGAATGCCACATGAGCAAAATTAACCATACATCTACATATTTCATGGTCAATTATATCATATGCATCTAATCACCAACTTTATCACAATGCTAACATATCAATAAACATACATCAACATTTTATTTCCAACAACATATCCCAAGCATGTTATTACATAACATATTTCAATAACATACTTCATTCACAAAGGCATAACATAAACACATAGCATGCCATATTTTATGGAATCACACAAATAATTTCCATATATTAATTCCCACCTTTTTTCAAGAAATTACTTTGAGTAATTTTTACATGCCCATTATAGGGTAGAATTTATTCTACCCCTTTCCAATGCCCATTTCATCAATTTCAATACAATAGGCAAGTGATATATATAACTCTATTAACCTACCCATTTCATTTCACACCCTAGGTTGTAAAATAACCAAAGTAGGAAGGAACCCTACATTTTGAAGCGTAAAACGACGTTGGGTTTGAACCCAAAATTGATATTATCCATATCCAATTCAAGCTTGAAAATATTTTAACCCCATCAAAATCTCAACAACACAAAATAAAATCCAACTGAGTCAAATCCAAACAAAGCATCATAACATTTATGCGTATAATTAAAGTGAGAACTTTCATCGAACAGTTGATGGGCTTACGTGATTTCATTAAGCAGTTGAGGATTTGGGACCGTGTGGTGATTCCATGTCGATGGCTCTTGGTTGTGTGACAGGGGGAGCTGAACAACGGGGAAAGTGGGCATAGGAGGCGGTGGAGTCGGGTGAATAGATGAACATAGTGAGGGGGACAGAGGGAGGCATACCTGCTCGCTAGTCGGTGGTCGTTGATTTAGGTTTAAAATTGCTCCCAAAAATAAGATCGATAGAGCAAGATCGAGTAGTGAAAAAGAGGAGAGAGAGGACTTACAAATTAACATAAGGAAGGAGAAGGGGGAGACCGACTGCCTTAGGCTAAACTTCGAGACTTTGATTGCCTAACCTGATTTCACTGGAGAAGAAAAGACTGAAGAGGTTTCGTTGATTTAGGGCTAAATTTGTTTGAGTTGAGTTGCCAGATCTGTCTAATTTAGCCACAAAGAGATGGAATGCTTGGAGCAGAGAAAGTGAGAGAACATATGTTGACCTCACCGGAGTCTTCAGAGCTGCCTGAAGATGTTGCTGAATCTGCTAGTCTAGGGTTGAAAGAGGGGAATCATGGGAGTCTCGGCCTCTGGAGCTGCCTCATGATGCTGGTCTACGTGAGAGAGAGGGGAGAGCTCTGCCTAATGACGTAAGAGAGAGAGTCAAGTATTTAAAGTAGACTATGAGAAAGAACTTTGGGCGGGAAAAAAATTTATGGAGTTAATGCCAACCGTTGAATCAGATTTAAACAAATTTAGAAATGATCTGAACCGCAAAAAATTAAAATTATTTTATTTATTTTTTAGGATTTGAATTATATTTTACTTTATTAAATAGATTAATCTGAATATTTTTTTTCAATTGAATAAAAAATTAAAAAAAGATCTCATATGCAAAATCGATACAAAATTACTGAATTAATTTTAGTGGAGTTTAATAATAATGGAGTAAGAATTATTAGACTCCCTAAATAAACAGATTTATACAAACTCAATGCAATATGATAATAATTCGTTAAATACAATTTATAAATGGTATGTACGCACATGGTATGAACCTGATTTATAATCATCGAACAGTTAGAAATGATTCAAGTGTGTGTCGAGCAACTTTGACACAACAGGATGCGACAGAACTCATTGTCGTCTGTCATACTCTCGTATCACGTGAAAATCATGAGCCCAAACCAAATTTTATGCAAGTGTACATGAGTTCAGGAAGTCCCATTTACCTACCGGTTCTGGTCCTTCCTGATGTTGTATTGATATTCCCTCCTTCAAAGGCCCATCTGGCCCGGATCGGCACAATCCCGTGGTATTTTCGTAGAAATATTAGTTATTCTCTATACCTGAAGGTACAGAGTAATAAAAAATTATAAATAATAAACATATCATATCCAAAAATAAATCACAAATATAGATGAGAGGTAAATAAATTTAAGTATTAGTTGTAGCGGGGTGAGAAGTGGTGGTGGTAGGAGACGGTGACGGTTGTGGTGGGAGGTAATGACTGTGGTGGTGGTGGCGGCAACGATGCAGTAGTAGTGGTGGTGGTGGTGGGGGTGGCGGCGATGGTGGTGGCGACGGTGGTGGTAACAGCAGTGGTGGTAGAGGTAGTGGTCGAGCTGTTTCAAACACTATTTTTTTTTAAAGTACTTATGAGAAATAATTTATAGAAGTACTTTTAAAAAGTCACTTCAAACACACCCTTATAACCTATTTTTTCTATTAAATTTGGGGTGTTAATATTAGCCGTTAAATTAACTTTAAAGTAAAATTTAAAGCGATTTGAATCGCAAAAAACAAAAATCATTTTGTTTATCTTTTGAAATTTGAATTGTAAGTTATTTTATTATATTGTAGAAATATATACCGAACCTTACGATGCACGAGTTGTATTTATATAATTTCCCTTTCATATGGATCTCACCCTCTGTAACAACCACATTCTAATTCAACCCATCTCTACCGACCAAAAAAAAAAAATCGAGTGTAGCTGGCAATGTAGAAGAATTGAATTAGGAAAAACTATTATTAAAAATTTAATAGTTTTAAAATATAATAATTTTGTAATTCATCTCTTACAATTTGATATAGTTCGATTGTTGTTTAATATGGAGGAATGATAAATAGATATTAGCTTTATTTATTTTTTTTGCACAGGCTCGGCCCAGGTACCCAAACAAATGATCCAGCCCCTGAATTTTCCGGACTGGACCAGCCGGGAGGCTCAATCATTTGAAAAACTTAGGGCTTGCATCGTGAGGATAATTTAGTAATTTTGCATATTGTCACCGTCTTAACGCCGTTATGTTCTGCAGAGCCCAGAGGGTTCCATAAAAGGAGGAGACTTGCACTCTTCATCCATGTTATCCAAACCCTAAAAATGGAGCTCTGTACAGCTCGAACCATCTCGAATCTTCCTCTCCACAGAACCTTCACTCAAAACAACACTCTTCTACGTTGGAAATCCTCTCTCCCTCTCAAGCAGGTCTCAATTTCTCGCACCAATCCAGGTCTCTACTCTCTTACCATATTCATCATATATGCTGTAAATCTACAAAACCCTAGGTATAAGAATTACTTGGGGTTTAGAGTCTGTAATAATCTGATTTGTTTTGTTTTGTTTTTTGCCTGCATAGATACGTACATTGTTATGAATGTATGAATCTGCTTTCAATTAATCCTGATTCTGTTATATCTCTCTGCGAAACGAATCTTGCTCTTGTATTACCACAGAGTTTTCATTTTTATTTTTGTGCTTTTTGGCTGTATAATTAATTGATTGTTTCGCGAATTTTCAATTTTGTTAGGGTTTTGAAGTGTTTTCAGTAGGTTTTAAGTATTGGAATGATGGTAATGATAGTTGTCAAATTACGATTTATCTTGGGTGTACGTACTGGAAGAATGATTTTCTCCACGTGAGGAATTGCAACCTTGGAATGATGTAATGGCTTAAAGCATGGTTTGTTCCAGGCTTCCAGCTCCCTAGTATTGCATCTGTGGTAGTCCCATATGGCATTCAAGCTAATTGGTTTGGAATTCACAAGAATTTTATCCCTTTCGGATTATAAATTGTAATTGCATTATCTAACCAACCCCCCCTTTTGATGCCAGCCAGAACTTTCATCTCTCTGCTGGAAGAGCTGTGGAGGCAACATTTTTAACCTAAGAATAGGGAAACAAGAAGGATTTTGAAAACAATTTTCACTCTGTGACTTGTGCCTTTTGGTTTTCTATTCAGGATTGCTATATTACACCAATTCATCTCTAAGGTCGACAACCTCTGAGGAAACGTCAAGTGTAGAAGGCCTGTATGTTAAAGATGAACCTGATGTTGTGATAGCAAATGAGGGGATGACTACCTCTGAGGAAACACCGAGTGCAGCAGGCAAGTATGTTAAAGATGAACCCGATGATGTGATAGCAAATGAAGATGATCAACCTGTTGAAAAGAATGAGTATGTTGAAAGTGAAGTACCTAAGGAAGATTCTCCTGAGGAAGACCAAATGCAACCATTCGAGTTTCTGGAGAATCTCAGAATAAAGGTTAATATTTAATTCTTATAAAGTGTATTTTGTGCTAAATGTACTCCTAATGTGCACAACGAGTAACATAAAGTTGCGTACTGGACAAAGATTAGCATGAGGTTTTTTAGTGTTACCTTTATTAATTTTCTTTCAAATGAGCAAGCTTCGTATATGTGTGATACATGGAGTTTTATAAATGATGGTTGCTATGATGAATGCTAGAATTGTTTGAGAGTTAACAGATACTTAATGAAATGTTGACAATCATGTCAATCTGAGCGGTTACCTGAGCAACCAGATTTTCTTTTTTTCCTTCTTTTGTTCTCTTTAGTATTCTATTCTAGCTATCTTCCTTTTGCAATGATTTCACAATTTTATGACTTTCTTCCTTATTTTTTAAGGTATACGTTTCTTCCCAATTCTCAAATGATCCTGTATTATATTATTTATTTATTTCTGCACTTGTGAAATCCAGGCCTTGTTGATCAACTAAAGATCACAAGAAATATATATTCCATGTTGCCAATTGTTAGCTGTGGTATGAACATGAGCTGTGCCTCACTTGGTCAAGAGTTAAGACCAAAATGAGGGTTTGTGATTCACGTTTTATAATTGCTGGACTTAAAATGTATCACATAGTGATTATGGTACTTTAAACTTCTGCAGCATACTATTATTGTCATAATCTCCCTCTCTCTGCCCCCCTAAAAAAAGAAAAATTTGGTATCTCTGTAGTCAAGTTTGGCATTCAGTTTTTGTTATTTTGTTCTTCTATTCTATTACTTTTTTTCTGGGGTTCTCATTTTTATAAACTTTTTTTATTTTCAGGTTCCAATTTTCATTTGATATATATATTTATATTTTTTTTTTGATGATTGATCTTCCTAAGTTTATGCAGTTTTCTTTGAATGCAAATAGAAAGTTTGTGTATATGCCTAATGAAATGTCGGAAGCTATGTTGATCCTGACTGATTGGCTGAGGAATAGGTTTTTTCCCCTTCATTAGTCATTTTTCACTGTTTTATTCTGATCATCTAATCTGTTCACCGAGTAATAGTTTCGTTGCTCAGTTTTGGATATTAGGACTTAGATGCATTTTATTGCATCTTATATTTATTCTATATTGTGTTTCCATTATAGAGTTATTATCTCTCTTCATCTTTTATTTTTACATGTTTTGAATGAGCATGATTTATATGTTTGTGATATGGGGTACTTTATAAATGATGGTTGCTGTGATGAATGCTAGAATTATTGAGAGTTCATGGAAGCTTAATGAAATGTTGACAATCATGTCGATCGTGAGCGGTTACCTGAGCAACCTGATTTTTTCTGGCCTTTCACTAGTCCTCTTTCTGTATTCTATTCTGACTGTCTTCTGTTTGCCTTGATTCCACAACTTCATGTCTTTCTTCCTTAATTTTTTCGAAGTATACATTTTTTTCTGGCTCCCAAATGCTTCTCTGTATCCTTTTGTTCTTTCTACTGGTGGTTTGTTTGATAGGCTCTGTATGAATCACAAGATATATAACTAATGCGTTTTGTGAACTATTCCGCTGTTTCGGCCCAAAAAAACAAAGAACTATTCCGGCGTTGAAACATGATATGATTAGTGATTTTGTTAATTATTTTTCTTTTCCTTCTCTATGTTGCTTATTTATTAACAGGGTATTACTATAAATTCACGAAGTATTTGTGACTGTGATCTGTGAAGCCTTTTGATAAAAAAAGAACAATTCTGGCCGTTGAAACATGATGAGATTAGTTATTTCGATAATTCTTTTTTCTGTTATCTTCTTTGTCTACACTTTAGGATTTGCATTCGTGGTTCGACAATCCCATTGTTCTTTTTTATTTTTAATTTCATAGCAGCCTGGTATGACCAAAACATCTTATAAATCTATTTGAGTACATGTTGCGATTTTACTGTTCCTCCTAACTTTGGATTACAAATAACTGTTTTGTTCCATTGACACTATGTAGCATTTCTAATTAGCAGTTTGGTTCATATCTTAAAAGAAGAACTAACAACTTATGTAAGTACATGCATATGATATTTCTATACATATGTATTGTGACAAATGTTTTTCCTCAATTGTGTGTGTTTCTGCATGTATCTGTACTTGTGCTGGAGTTCATATCCGATACTTATAGATAAATTTGTGTTGTTGGATCACTTTGTTCTAGAATTCTGTGTTTCTAAAGAATGTTATTGTTCTCTTTCCCACAAGTCTCCCCCTCTCTCTTTGTCTATCTCTAAGCCTCTCTAGCTGAACATTAACTATTTTCTATACTAGCAGAGCATTGAGGAATTGAAGCAGAGCTTTTATGCACCATTGTTGAACTTGGGCTAGTAAGCGTAGAAGCAAATGAAGAATCGAGAAAGAACAAGGAATATGAACCAATGGTTTCCAAAAAAATCACTAGACGGGTATGGCTACTTCATTTATGCTTCATTCAGTCGTGGTATGTGAATAAAATTGATATTAATTATACTATTTGATTTGATTATCATGTATTCAATTAGATTATTTTATTTTATTCATGCATTTAACTGATATAAACCGTAACTTGATTTAATATATGAATTGGATGAATATATACGATACTTACTATCAATGCTAATATTTTGTTTGTAAATTCAATGTATGAGACATGTAACATGATGGCGAGTCTTGGTGTGGTGTGATAGATATTTCCTCTTGCTAATGCTCATTTTTTTATGATTGTCAATTTGTTTGGGTTGGTTTAAATGGTTTGACTTTTTCACATGGCCATAACTTTGTTGTACTATACCGATTTTTTATCTTTGTTAACCTCTACAAATGATTCTTATCAACATGATTTTTTTAAGGTCTATTCCTTGATTTGCGTTATGTATAGACATTGAATTGAAAAGCAAATGAACAATTAAGGGAAGTACTCATATTAATGTTAGTATTATTCTGGTTATGTAAATACATCTATCAGAGCATGTATTGATTTTTTGGGTTAGTTTTTCATAATTTTATAATAGTCTTTAGTTTCAATAATGTATTTGCGAAGTTCATTTTTGAATTCAGTAGATTGCTTTTTTAGGTAATGTTAATTTGAGAAGCTAGTTTGATTTTTAATATGTGTGAATAGATGTTTACTATTGAGGGATATTGATTATGTGAAAGTTTTTGTTGTTGAAAAGTAGCGAGTTTGATTTTCATTTCCCTCTTGTATCATGAAAGTTATTTTTTAATATTACATCACCCGACAAACTTTATGCATGCTTGTGAGTCCATTATGCAGTTTTTTTGTTCAATTTTGATATTGATTTATTTTTCTTTCCCTTTCTCCCCTATGTATGCACACACATTGGCAACACGTATAAAATAATTTAAGGGTATCCCTTTTATTTACTTTCATTAGGGTTGTGGATAAAACCTGTCAAAACATAAGTGATATAATTAACAATCCTTAATAGTTACGCTCCATCATAGTATTCTTATAAGTATAATAATACAACTCGAACTTATTACAATGTACATGTTTGCTACAACACATTAAGTTAATATAAACATAAGTTGGTAATCCAACATACTCGGTATTTATACCAATCATGTAAATTTAAAAAAAAAGAAACAACATAGGGTGAGCATCAACAACTTTGTAAGAAATCTCAATTCCAAGGCACACAGGTTCGAAAATAAGTATTTTGATATGATTGATATTATAAAATACATTCATAGCTAATAATATGAAAACGTTAAACAAAAAATAGTTTATGTACGAAAATGATAAAACCATACCATTACAGTGTCAAATTAGAGAAAAAATATCCTCATAGACCACTCAGGGTCGATACGTCCCGTACAATCCAACCTTTTAGGAGTTGTACATCCTAAAAAAGAGACGCTCTCGAATCATAATTCGTCCCCAAGTCTGAAGATCAACTGGGTTGCATTTGCATTTACAAACTCAATGAAACCCTCTACGGTTTCAACTTGAAACGTAAATCCTCTAACACTTAATCCTTTGTGCACTTATATTTAATAGAAAATGATCTTGGGTTCTCTCAATCATTGAACAATTCAAACGATTGTCCAATGCACATTTCAAAATCCTAACTTATCCAGAGTTTCAATTCAATACGAATCACCAGATCATGGGTTCACAAACATGTTAAACAACATTTATAACATAAATGATATATTTATAAAGAGAACGAAAAATCTTGCCTATTTTAGAATTGAAATTTTTTATCTCGATTTGCGTGTAGTTCAAAAATTGTAAAAAATAGAACAATAAAAGCTATCAATGAAATTTCACACACAACTCTATTTTAACTAATTAAACACGAGTATAAAATTAATTTGGTCAAACAACTCTAAAATCAAGTCAAACCGGGACTTGAAGAGCAAAATAGTTACTTACGTGAGATATTAACTGAAGCGTCAGATCAGGAATTGGAGACCACCAGGGGATTCCTTGGGGAGACGGGAGACCAACCCCACCAACCAGACGTGGATCAACCACCCTAGCCTCACACGTTGTAGGGGTGGGCTGCCTCTTCCCCCTCTCTTCTTCCGAATTCTTCTTCGTCGTTCTTCTTCCTTTCCAGCTAAGTACGCAACTTCTTTCCTCTTATTCCTTCTCCTCCTTTCTTCTTCTGAATTCTTTTTCTTCGTTCTTTTTTCTTTCCAGCTAAGTACCCAACTTCTCTCCTCGTGTTCTCTCTCCACAGTATAACAAATCCACTCCTTCCTAATGCCAATCTCCTTCTCGTATATCCTACTTTCAAATCCATACCCTTTTTGGACTGAATCTCCATATGGTGATCCGATGTTTTGGTTAATATCTCAGTAAGATAACTATTTTGCCCTTCAGGTCCTAGTTTGACCTAATTTTGGGTTTGTTTGACCAAACTTATTTTATACTCATGTTTAATTAGTTAAAATAGAGTTGTATGTAAAATTTCATTGATAGCTTTCATTGTTCTATGTTTTATAATTTTAGAACGATACACAAATCGAGATAAAGTTTTTCAATTCTGAAATAGGCTAGATTTTTCGTTCTTTTTATAAATATATCATTTATGTTATAAATGTTGTTTAACGTGTTTGTGAACTCATGATTAGGTGGTTCGTATTGAATTGGAACTCTGGACCGGTTAGGGTTTTGAAATGTCCATTGAACAATCGTTTGAATTGTTCAATGATTGAGAGAACTCAGGATCCTTTTCTATTAAATAT